GATTGGATAAGTAGCAACGTTGATATATGAAAATTACTTATTTTAATGACTTTTATGAATTAAAGACGTTAAGGTGGTAAGAGTAGTTAAATTAGTTGTTTCGACAAAACTGCTTATTCATCGTTTAATGAAATACACCACAAAATTCTTTGGACGTTATATTTTAAAGTATCTTAACTTTAAAATCGAAATGATACTAATTGAGATTGTTTGGGTTTGAGATTAGGGTATCTCGATAAAGTAATTTGATGCTAGGGAAATTTTAGGGTGAGTTTCAACATCATCGTGGAGAAATACATTCTCTTTTCTTTTCAACTAGGTGTAGTAATGATGTTTTTCAAGAGCACTACTATGAGCATCCTAATTTTAAAACAAAGCAAGCTAAATTAGTATACTTCTCGGTTTCAGATTAAGGTACATGAAAATGTTGATTTTTTGGGACAATTGTGAGGGTAAATTAGAATTCGGAAATAAAAGCTATGTCCTCGTTGCTCTGTCAAGACAAAAGGTGCATTTTCTAGTTTTTCCATTTTTATGATAGATTCACATTCAGCATCGCATATTACGTCGGAAATAACAACCCTTTTCTACTACCGTCCCCGCTCTGGTTTTGTCGGCCTGTGATATACCTACTTACTTACCCGTAGGAAAAATTTCGATTCTATTTCCTTTAAAAAATGCCATTTAATTACCACTGATAATAATTAATGGTAATAAATGGAGAATTGCCAATGGGATGAGTGGAATTTCCACTAGAATTTTAGTGGAAATCCCATTCCCGAACTCAATGGGATTTCCATTGCGTTCCATTGGAACTTCCATTCCTGAACCTAATGGAAATCCTACTGTCAATTCTTTAGTTTTTACCTTTAATTATTGTTAGTAGTAATTAATAATCAAGATGAAATATGAGGCTTTTGGTTTTAAATAGAATTTATAAATTTTGCATTGGTTCCCATTGAAAATCAATGGAATTATTTCCTATGTAAATATTAATGGAATTATTGTAAATGGAAACAATTATTTTTCCATTTATGTCAAATGGTTTTGAAAGAAATTTACAAAATTTCCGTTGATTCCCAATGAAGTTAAAAGGAAAATTTTCCTACGGGTACCTTACTGAAGTTATCGATCGATCTTTTTACACAAGAATTGTCTTTCATCCATTGCCTACGTCCATCTAAGTGCTTTTTTTACAGTGAAATTTCTGAGTTCGAGGAATTGTAATATGTAAATCTTAATAATTTCTTTAGATTAATGATGACCAAATTGTCCCGGTCTTCGTATTGATCTTGGTCTTGCTTATTTGATCTCGGTCTTGGACTTGTTCGAATATTTGTCTTACTGATATGATCTCCGTATTGGTATTGGTCTTTCTGATATATTGTCGGTCTTGGCCTTGGTCTTGCGTGTTAAGTCTTGACTTTGCTCATTTAATCTGATATTTACGTCTTTTTAACAATTCCTGCAAGCACAAATTTTTCTATTTACCGACACAATCACTGTCTTAAAAACTGAATTTTCTGCCAATTTGAAAATAGTGTCCATAGTTCTGAGAGTTATGGAAACACGAGATGTTGCCCCTTCTGCAACTCATAAATTGACCTTTACTACTAGAAAGAAGTAAAAAATAACCAAAAAAAAAAATAGTTTAAGTCTATGTTTCAACCATGTGTTATCCAGACATAGGAACGAAGAACACTTAATCTAAGAAGGTTTTTGTAGGTCCTTTTTCTTATGTTTAAAGACAGAAAGCCTCGCGTTGATAATTGTCATATAAGAGGTGGGCTAAATATGTAACTTCTCAGTATCGTTCGATTTGATAAATTGGGATTCTACTCTCTTTTTCCATTTCAACTTAAACTAGTTTAAAACAATTATTAAGTAGGTAGGTAGTAAATTTGTAAGTTAAACAAAGATGTTTATTTTAGTTGAATTCAGGACAAGTCTAATCCTACTTCATTAAACTTTCCAACTGTGATAAGAAATAGAGTCTTAAGGGGCGAATATTGTAACGAACTGCAAATGGAGTTAAAACAAACTACTTTCACAATATAAAATGGCATATTTGCATCATTTAACTCGAAAACTTTCTATGTTCCAATAAAGTGCAAACGTATTCGTACTGATTAGATAAATTGAATCAGAAATTGAAAACGATTTGTTGGTTTGCTTACTTTCTCTGAAATTTATTAAAACCTGTTTTTATAACGCATAAAAAAGTGTGATTTAATATCTACATCTACAACTTTAAAGAGTGAATGAAAAATATAATGAGATTTCTTTTGTAAAGAGTCTAATTCACTTTAAAATCATATATCATTCTTTTTCACAAATAAATTGGTTTATCTATTCCAAAATTCAAAACTGAAAAATTTAATCGTAAAAACAGACTAAAGTTCAACGCAAGATTACGTGGAAATTCTAAAATTCTAAATTAACCGTTTGCGAGCTTAGAAGTGACTTCTTTTTCTTAAGGCGACTCGACCCTGCACTATCCTCTGCTTTATATCCCTACTACTCTATTTGTCCTGACTTATCTGACTTGATACCTAAAATCGGCCACTTCTTCTAATTGTTCGTCTCCTATCTTTATATTCGCTCTTCCCTAGTTTTTCTTCCCTTAGATACCAGTATTTTAGTTTTACCTTTATTTATTTTCATACAGTACTGATCTGTCAGTACCGCTTCCATTTTATTTAACGCTATAATAAGATAAGGTAAGATAAATGTTCTGATATTATTTCAATAATGTTTGGGGTTTGGAGAACAGAAAAATATGGAAATAAGATTAATTCGCTACGTTGGTTATAAAAATATCATTGAAATGTTACTCAATAAAAATGATGACACTTTAATATTCATAAAGCAATAAACGTACTAATTACTGCTTAGATGCCTGAGGAATCGATTAAGAACAGATACAAAAATTATCATCATCATCATAAGGTCGTTAGTCCTAAGACTGGTTGGACACGCACTTCCACTCTTTAAAATTAAGCAAAAGTATTTTAGTTCAATGAAAATTTTGAAGTAAACTCCATATATTGATTCTGGACACAATATTAATTTCAGGAATTGGCTGATCGTCTGTTATAAGAAAAAAGCCGTTATTTTCATTGTTTTTGAGAATGCTGGGCATCCCCTGTAACTGGCAGGGTGTTGTCCTTTGAAGTTACGACATTTCGTTTTTTCTACTGTGGGTTTTGTACAGTCGGCGGTTCGGTGAAAATGTTAATTTTATGCAGCGTAGCGTCATCCTGTAGTTTCGCTGGATATTTCCTATGCGTTGGTAACGATGATGGCATTGTGTTTGTCGTCGTTGTTGGTGGTATTTTTACAGCTGGCAGCATGTCTTGATTTCGTCTGCAAACTGCTTGGACGCTACCAACAGCAGAAGGAAATTTTCTTTGATTGACATTTATTCGATGAACTGTTGTTGCGCTTAGCCCTCTTTCTGCTAAATCATTTAAACGTCGTCGCGTGTCAATCTGGTAGGAACACCCTTCATCAAGTCCTTTATGGAAAAGTGGTAGACGCTCGTGTACGTACAACAATGAATGTCCTTTTTGTCGAGCAAGACGATTAGCCTGTTATGATCATCCTCTGTGAGTGAATGGACTCTCACTCCATTCTTTGTGTTGGTAGCAATTTTTCCCGTGGCGAATGACAATCGGGGAAATTTTAGGCTCGTCGGTTGGCTCGCTTCCTAGCTGGCGTTGGTCGTATTCGTTCTTTCATTGTAGGTAATTTTCTTTGGAACCACGTGACCGTCATCTACCTCTATGACGCCCGTAAGTCTTGAAAAACCTAATCTAATATCGCTGTGAGCTCTATTGGATGATTGTATTTGTAGATCACTTTTGGGGGCGAGTGACTTAAACTTAAAAAAAAAACTTTTGGGTGTTTCATTCCCACCAGCCAGTAATGCTGGTGGGCGGGCAGTCCCTCCGGATTATGCCGAAAGGTAGGGCGGAAGGCCCTCTTCAGCCTGCTTTCAGGAATCGTGGGAATGGGTGGGTGATGGTTCGGGTGACAAAGATGAGACGGACGAAATGAAGACGGAAGAGACTGAAAGATTATCTGTGGAATATTACTGCCCCAGCATTTTGCCTAAGTGATCCAAGGAAACCACAGAAAAACTTGGACCAAGGCGGACGGACCCGGAATTGAACCGGCGTCCTCTCGACTGCTAAGCAATGGTCTAGACCTCTAGGCCATGCCTCTCGGTCGAGTGACTTGGAATCTCCTGGCTTAAATAGTTGTTCCGTTTTTGCGCGTGAGTGGTTCAATACTCGTTTCCAAGCTTTGCCGAGGTGATACCTATCTTCCCCGTTGAGATTGTTCGGGTGTTTGTAGATCTCAAGTGATGCTTCCTTGACTACTCGGGAGAATTAGTGGTTCTCTCTGGCTAAGCTCTTTGTATGGTCGAATCGGATGTCGTGTTCTGTGTTCCGAAAATGTTCTGCCAAGGTTGATTGTTATATTGTTTCAGTGGAATGGACCTCTCATTCTGTTTCATCCTTGTTGTGATGGATTTACCTGTTTCGCTGACGTAAACTTAAATTTACTGACTAAACCGAGTTGCTGAATGCAACAAACACTTTTATGGAAAGCATGGATAATCTTTGTTTCTATTCAGAAGGGAATCCTTTTGTAATAATCTTTGGCGGTTCCGAAAGGCGTGATTTCTCTATTGGAGCGAACAGCTTACTTGCGATTAGAACAGACTTGCTGGATCTGCCAGATAAAAACCAATCATGACCTTCTCGATTCATTGCAAATATCGATGCAGTATTAGGTGACGCTTGCGATTGTTTATAGAAATGTCGATTAATAATAAACTGATTAAACTGTTAATGAAACGGAATAGGTAGTTGTTTACGCGAAAATTGTTTCCTGATTGTGTTAAGAGTGTAACTGGAATAAACCGTTATCTGGCAGTAGCTTAACAGATTGTCTGTCGGCTGAAGTATGGAAATTAGCTACTGCGGAAATTAAACACAATTGCGCCTTCAGTACCATAACAATAAGCTGAACGAAGTAATATAGTGAAGACAATACTCCTGTTCAACGACTGTCTTTTAGTAGGGCAGACGGTACAACCTACCACACTCTCTTTTACCGAGTTGGTACGATGGTAATCCTCAGTATAGTGACTGTGGCGGTTGTGATCGAGGTGAACGCGTACGAATAGCGGTTTCTGAGAGTGACGACTCGAATTATCAGGTGCACGTTTGATAAATCCTCCAGTGACCCGACAAAGACAATTTTAAGAACCATTAGCAAGTGACAGTTTGTGTTTATTAAGAGTTTGTTCCTGTTTATTTATCCGGGTACTAAGTCGGTCGGACAGAATTTCCTTAATCGCAACTTTTCAGGCAGGTATGTATTCCAATATAATTAACAGTTTCCTTGGTTTGACGGATACCGTTCATGTTACTGGAAAAAACATAAAGAGAATTCAATAAATTTAGTGAAAGTATAAATGATTTACCTACGTTGCGATCGTGCCAGTTGTATACATATGTACAACTGCAGGCAGTAATTAAATACGTAAGTTTAATTAGGAAAGCTAGTCGGACTCCCAGTGTAATACACTGCATATTACAAATTAGCGTTAATATTATATTACACAAAATTAAAAATTTTCTATACTTGTTTATGGCAATATAAAAAATTTTGCGTTTTTGTCCATTGAAAAGATTTACACAAAAATAATTGAGGATTGAGAATATAAAGCATAAGTGATAGAATGCAGTAATATTTTTTTAGAGTTTTTATTTGTTTGTTTGTAAATGCATCACGTGAAAATTTCTGATGTTATTTAGATATGGAACTTTTAAAAAAACGTAGGGTTAAACTTTAAATAACATTTAGCTATTTCATTCTGGTCAATTTACTCAGTGTTAGACGAAATAAAAATTTAGTGATCGTAATGAAGCTGTACATAGGAATTCCACTGGTCTGCACCTAAGAAGTTATGGATAGAAACTTGTTTTTATGAGAAATAAGCTTTTAGTGGCTGTTATTTAAATGTACATCAGTAGTGGCTAGTTGAGAACCGAACTTTACAGATATTCTAGCATTGTTTGTCTGAGTAATCGAAACGCACAAAGCAATGTACAGTCGTTTTCCATTCTAGCAATGATCTCAATATACTTATAGATGCTGATATGGATCATAGGGAAGGCAATAGAGCTCATATTAGAGTATATAAATTACATTAGATATTGAGAATACAACGATTAATAAAATTATATAGAAATGAACAAGATTTAAAATTACAGTCTGTTACAAGATTGTACATCGTGTTAGGTAAAAACATATTTATTTGAGCAAGGCTTTCTACTAGTTTTTGCCTCTGGTCACCATAAAGAGAAGACTGCCAAATTACATGATTAATATCTTCAGGTGCAAGATTACATTTACAACGAGAATTGTTGTTCTAGCAACTGATTTAGCTAAGTTATAATGGTTACCTCTGATTATATTAATTGTTGTAATGAATTTTCGTGGCAATTTTTAATGCCAGAACCATAGTTTCTTACAATCACTATAAATATTTTCAAAGTAACATACTCCTTTCTCTAGACGTTGTTGCAAATGTATTTGCGTGTATTTGTATTACTTTTTATTTTCAATTGATTTAAGCATGGATTGAATGGAATTGTAGATGCAAGAAAAAATTATTAAGAGACCACAACAATTTATTTGACAATCATTACGGTAATGAGTATTGTAAATGGAAAAAATCTATTAATGATAAAAAATAAACTAATATCGTGCTAGAAGTTTTTACAATTAACAGATCATTTGAATCCCCAAAAAGTTATTTAAGGGCCTGTATGCTTGTCATAGGTGAGGAGCTGGTGACATTGAAAGTACCGTATCTCGGAATTGTAAATTTTTTAAAAAAATTAATAATTGACAAATATACGAACAAAGTGACCTTGGTACGCGTTAATTTACTTAGCCGAAAGTATTTAAAAAAATTATTTATAATAAAAAAGAAAAAATGTTTTACCATCATCACGAATTTTAAAGAATTGTACTGTATTCAATAAGAAATTTGTTAATTTAAAAAATTGGGTCACCAATTTCCTTTAGCCGAAAGGACGTGGCATACTTACTCAAGGGGTGTAAAAGACGGTAAAATTTCACCATTATCGCGTACACTTTTTTTTTTAATTTCACGTATTTTAATGTGATTAACAAAAATATCTTGGTATGCACGTCTAAAAACCGCCGGAAGTATCTGGAATACCAATTCTATTTCATCGGCTTCCTTTAAATCAATTATAAAGATTACCAAGTTCAATAATTTTATTTTAGAGTAAACATGTATGACGATAACTATGATAAAAGATATCAAGTAAAATAATGCTTTTAGTTTATTTAAATTTCANTGAAATGGAATTGGTATGCCAGATACTTCCGGTAGTTTTTTGTCATGCATACCAAGATATTTTTGTTAATCTCATTTAATCAAATAAAATTTAAAAAAAATAGTGTCTACGTGATAATAATGCTTTCGGTTAAAAAAAATTGGTAATCCAAATTCGTAAGTCATTTTTTTTCTTTTAAATTAACAAATTTGCTATCGAATACAGAACAGTTCTTTAAAATTCGCGATTATGGTAAAACATTTTTTCTTTTTTATTATAAATAATTTTTTTTGATACACTGTCGGTAAATTAATGTGTACTGAGGTCATTTTGTTCGTATAATTGTCAAATACTTATTATTTTTTTAAAAAATTTACAATTTAGCAATGGCGGCATTTTCAATGTCACAGGGTGACTCCCGTACAATCACGTTTGTAGATTGTTCCTGTTTATATTAGTAAATATATATATAGCAAGTGGTGTAAAATATGTATATATTTGTATGAGAGTGGTTCCTATCACATTCGAATAAACAATTCGTTATTTTAACGAAATTCCATTATGTCCAGGAAATAGTGATTACAAGGAGTAATTCAGTTCCAAAGAAGGTTATACAAAATTAGAATTAAAATTTCAGAGATAGTACGAAAAAAAAATGAAATGTGTAAGGCAAAAAAACATCTCTCTGAACTAAAACACTTTTTATCCCTCGTATTCTTTAGTGAATTTGATTTAGTATTTATATAACCTCGTCATTTCTATATCGTATGCCATTCATGTTTTCTGTTACAATAAAACGGTTTCTGTTGTAAACACTACTAAAAAAGCAAGTTCTTCAGTTCTGAAGGACAATGGATAAGAAAATGCTTGTCTGAGAATGTTATACATAAATAGAAAATAGACAAGGTAAATATACACTTCTGTATTTGAATCAACTGGAAGGTTCCTATTTTCATTTGCTTTTAAAGAATTAATTTTTCCACTGCGTTAAATTTAGTGTGGTAAATGACATAACAATGTAAGTAACTTTTAGGTACATTATGTAGAAATTAGTGGAGCCCAAAGTTTTAAATTACGTGCGGATTATTAATGTGTCATTATTTTCCCGTTTGTAAAAACGCACTAAACTGCAATTGCTTTGTGAAAATTGTTTACGTCGAAAGGTTTTCATCGAAATTACGTATCCATATCATACGAATGAATATTTAAGTGGGGCAATTCACAGAGTTCTATACACTTGCTTTATATATAAAAAATCTACGATTTAAAATATTGAAGACTAGCTGTATGACTTCCTCGTCCGCTTGACATTCGTTCGACTTACTTCCACGTTTCAGAATTAGTTTCCACGAAAACCTATTCTGTTTTAATGGAATGATATGTCTACCTGGAAGCTAGATTTTTAATATCAGTGAAAAAATTTTTGAAATCGGATGAGTAGCTTCAAAATTTCTACACTCAAACTTACATACAAAACATGCCTTGAAACAAAGAAGTAAAAAGAAGATATATAAATTGAAAAAAGTATATATTTACACTAATCTCTTTATAATATTAGTAGAGATAATGAAAAAAAATAACATAAGTTTGGAAAAAATTATTATTAATGAATTTTATAAAATAGATGATCTAACGACATGTTTCATTATCGTCATTGTTAGGTCGTCAGTCCTAACACGCACTTCCACTGCTTCTTATCCTAAGCTAATCTTCGTATTTCTCTAAATCTAGAACATCCTACATTATTTTCTTCGACTGAGAAGTTGATTCTGAATTAAATCAATTCTTGTATTTGGCCTGAAAATTATTTTACAAAATTTTAAAGAAACATTGTTTTGACTTCCTGGAGCATCATCAAATGCAACTGCAAAAGAAATGAGTTTGAGACTCAAGTTAAATTTAAAAATATGGAATTAATAATTTTCTGTCGAAGTACTTTTTAGTTAACAGTGTGTGTATAAAAAGAAATTCCTAGGATTAACGACAGATGCCTTGAAGTTTTTGATTCCATTTTTCACCTCCTACTTCTGGAAGTTAAATTTTCGTCGAAATACACAGAAACCGTTTAAATTTAGAAAACGAAAAAAAAATAGACGCAATTCCTTGCAACCAACCCGTCCTGTGAGTGTTGGTGTGTGAAGTGATCAAGGGGTAAACCCCTCCAAAATAGTTAGTTGGAATTTATGGCGCAAGAAAGGGTAAATGGTTATAGTAATTTTCCATTCCTCCCACTCTTATATAAATATAAGTATTAAAAGCTGGAAGATGTTTTTGTAAAATAAAGCGCTTTGCTCCCATTTTGTGTGAGGTATTTAGATTCAGTGTCGCCTTGGAGTAAATAATACGATTGGTCGCCTCCACCATTAACATTCCTACATATGCATGTCATATAAAGTACACGTCATAAAAAATAATAATAAGTTTGTTGCAATAAACCATTATTTGGACTTTTCGATTGATCTGACGTAAAAGAGTTAATCAAATCCGAAAACTTTGTTGTAACTGCTTTCTATTGAAACCACAGCTAACGAATTTAATTGCGTTTAAGACGCAAGTATGTAATACCTAATACTATTGCGGAGTTCGTTTTTTATGCCCAAAATGGCATCTTGGTTGTGCAGTTACACTTAGACATATAAGAAAATATTTGCAGTGCGGTAGACCTTTGACGCCTTTTTAATCATTTTTTGACTTTATTGTCTTAAACAAAACGAAAGTAGGAAAGCCTGGATAACAAACGAGATTGTAGGATTAATAGACGAAAGGCGGAAATACAAAAACAGGATAGATGAAGAAGGACAAAAAAGACATAAGAATATAAAGTGGGAAATAATTAGGAATTGTAGGGCAGCTAAGGAACAGTGGATTGATATGAGGTGTAAAGAAGCAGAAGAAAAGTTTGAAGTAGGTAAAACCCATGAGGCTTATAATACAATTAAAACGAATTTTAGAGATGTAGGGTACAGTAGTAATAATATAAGAAACGAGACAGAGGTG